ACTCCCTCCCTGGTACACAATTCCCTCGCACCCCTCCCACAGCCCCAAGTATATTCGACTATGCAACCTTAATTGTGGACTCTTGTGATAACCATAATACCTTACCATAAATCACTTTTAAATTATTCTCTCCTTCATCTGTTTCAGTGCAGTATACACAATTTATCCAGTTTTTCTCAGTCTACCCCAACCCTTATATCAGTTCCATGTTACAGCAGTGGCACCACGCAATATTTGTCCTTTTGTGACTGAGATATTTCACTCAGCATAATGTCCTCCAAGCTCACCCATTTTCAATAATATTGCATGAGTTCCTTGTTTTTCAATGCAGCGTAGTATTCCATTGTGTGACTATACCACAGCTTCTCTGTCCATTCGTTTGTTGATGGGCACCTGGGTTGTTTCCAACTCCTAACATGTGTGTGCATATATCTGCTTGGATGTCAGTTATGGTCTCTTTGGAATATATTCCCAGTAATGGAATTGCTGGGTCAAATGGTATCTCTATTTGCAACTTTTTGAGAAATTGCCATACCGCTTTCCACAGTGGTTGCACCATTTTACACTCCCACCAACAGTGCATAAGGGTTCCAGTTTCTTCAAAACCTCGGCAGCATTTGTTGTTTGCTGTTCTGTTAAATTTTGCAATTCTGACTGGGGTGAGATGATATCTCATAGTTGTTTTGGAAAACTCATTAACTCTTACATAGTGTGTTATTTTCTAGATAGTTTACTTCGACTATTGATCTGTTTTCCTTAAATCATACGTGGTGATAAGATTGTTGTCCTTATTACATACCACTGATTTGGAATTGACTCATACCTCACTCTCCAGCTGGCTTCTCAGAGGCTGTAACTTAGAAGGAGATTATCTGTCTCTTTCCCATGGAGCAGCTGATGGATTTGAACCTTTTGCCTTTGTGTTGGCGAAGTATAGCGATAATAGAAGTAGAAAATATACATAGACTAAGAATAAGGAAGGTTGGAGAAGAATTGATGCCTTTGAATTGTGGTGTTGACAAAGTGTATTGAATATCACATGGATTTCAAAAACAAGAAACAAATCTATCTAGGGGGAAGTGCAAGCAAGATCCCTTTTTACAGGCAAGGTTAATGAGAGATTATCTCACATATGTTGGACAAGTTGTCAGGAGAGGCCAGTCCTTGGAAAGAGATACTGTGTTGGGAAGAGTTCTAAGTCAGAAAGAGAGGAAGACCCTTGGAAGGTGCTTAATATGTGACTATAACCATGAACCTTGAGCATGACAGAGCTTAAGGATGGTGCAGGATGGAGTAGAGTTCTAGCTCTTCACAGGGTCTCTGTTCGTTCTAGTTAACTCACTGGTACTTAACAACAAAAACGTATAATAAAAACTGTAAAAAACACAAAAAACTGTCATTGTCTAACAGTGTTCTAATATTTATATTTCCAAAGGCTACTGTAACCAGACTTGGTCGGTGGATTGACTTTGACAATGACTACAAAACTCTGTATCCACAATTCATGGAATCTGTCTGGTAAGTATATTTGAAGTTGAAAGTTCATTAACATAGATTTGTATTGGTCAATAGAGAAAGTTCTAGATGAAGTCAGCTTTTTCCCTGACACATAGTTACATGAACATTTTGGAACTAGTATAATTTGTTTGTTTTGGATTTTTTCTGCTCTGGTAGAGCCTTTATCATGGGGCTCCTTAAGTAGTGTGAAGTGGGAGGAGTGGGTGGCCCATTGCTGGGCTGGCTCTGCTTGATGGGCTTGTGAATGATGGAGAACTCACCCAGGTAGTGCCCACTCATCTCGGGCTTGATCTCCACCTCGTGATGATCTTGCCATATTTCATGCCCACCACACTGCCTACCATCTTGGGCAGGATGATCATTTTCCCCAGGGGCATTTTTACCACTTCCATCTTCTCCATTGTTTCTTGGCTTTGTGCAGTTTCTTCAGGCAGTGACCATCACTCTCTGGTGCTGTAGAGCTGCATTAGCTGCTTGTAGGACCTGTATAGCAGCTGATTTCTTCTGCCATCTTAATTGAGTCTTTAGAAAAAAGCTGGGTCCTGTATGTTCTTGAGATTAAACGTTTTTGATTTTAGAAATACAACCAACTGCTGCCAATTTCCTTTCTGATTTATGGATACTGTCCATCAGATAGCCTAGGCTGAAACCTGACAGGAGGACACGGCCATGTGTCTCCCAAGGAAGGCAGCTTGTTGGTTCAGATTGACCCTTCAGGTTAGTAGCCTGACAGTTAACTCTCTAGGGCATTCATGTAATAGCCTAAGCAGGTTAAATAGCAACATATAGACATATTTACACTAAAAAGAAATAATGTGTTTATATATTGCTTATCAAGCAGTTTCATTGGCTGGTTGTTTCAGAAATAGACAGTCATGTTTCTAGTTTGTCTTGTCTGTCTTCTAGAAGCTGCCTACCATAGGTGATGCTAGTACCATTTGGAATACTAGTGCCATAGTTTACACCAGCATACAAGCTGCCATGTTGTAACAGACTGGTAGTTTAATCCACATGGAATTCACTTGTTCATTGCAAAAACCTTTTTTTAAAAAAAATTTTATTTTTGTGTGAGTGTACCGTAAATCAGATCTGACTGGTACAGGAGGAGATTGTCCCTCCTTTCCTGGCAGAGCATCTGGCGGATTTGAAGCAAAAACCTTTTTAAAAACAGTAAAAAGTGACATGTTGACCTTGTCAGATAGAACAGATAGGAATCAAACTGCATTTGTAATGAGTTAGTGAAGAAACCCAATATCAGAAAATATAGACACTCAGTATTATCAGTCAGAACAAGGCCAACTGTGAAACACCATCAGTTGCTTCAAATAGCATCAGTTAACTCATTCACTCAATGTATGGTATTAGGTGGGTCCAGCCCTTGGAGAAGAACATCAGGTTTTGAAAAGTAAAGAATTGGCAAAGGACGGGGCAATGCTCAAGAAGATGGACTGACTTAATAACTGCAACAATAGACAGTGAGATTGTGAGGAAGGAACAAGATTAGGATTTTGATAGGCTAAACAGAGTTGCTGTGATCAGAATTGTTTTCACAGCACCAAACAACAGCGTATGTGTTTAAACGTTGGATAATTAGTAAGAAAAACCAAATAATTGATGCTTTTGAATTCTGGTGTTGATGAAAAAGATGAGTATATTGAATTTTTCTTTTGCTAATGTATTTAATACAGCGTACTGACAGTTTCAAGCTGGATATAGATGAGGTTGTAGCACCAGGAATATCATTGCTGATATCAGATGGATCCTGGCTGAAAGCAGAGGCTATAAGAAGAGTATTTGTTTAGTTTTGACTGTGCAGAGGCATTTGACTATGAGGATCATAACAAAGTATGGCTGACATTTAGAAGAATGAGAATCCCAAAACACTTTTAATAGTGCTTACATGAAACCTGTGTCTAAACAAAGCAAGGGACCACTTCATGGTTTAAAATAAGGAAGAGTGTATGTGAAGGTGGTATACTTTCTCCCTACCTATCCAGTCTGTACCCTGAGCAAATCATTAGAGAGGCTGAACTCTGAAGAAGAATGTAGCGTAAGGATTAGGCGAAGCCCCATCAGCAGCCTGCATTATACAGGTGACATAGCCTTGCTTGCTGAAAGTGAAGAGGACATGTGCAGAGGATCAAAGACTGGAGCTTTCATTCTGGATTGCATCTCAAGAGAAAAGTGACAAAAATTCTTACCACTCAACCAATTAGCAACATCATGATAGATCGAGAAAAGATTGAAACTGTCAACGATTTCATCTTACATGGATTCATAATCAACACCCTTGGTACCGGGAGTCAAGAGATAGATCGAGAAAAGATTGAAACTGTCAACGATTTCATCTTACATGGATTCATAATCAACACCCTTGGTACCAGGAGTCAAGAGATCAGGAAATGTGTTGCAGTGGGCAAGTCTGTAGCTAGGGACCTCTCCAAATTATTGAGTAATGATGTCAGCTTGAGGACTAAGGTGTGTCTGATTGAGGCCATGGTTTTTCTGATCACTTGTATATACATCTGAGCACTGGACAGTGAACAAGGATGACAGAAGAATTGGTGCCTTTGAACTGTGATGTTGGAAAAGAGTACTGAATATCCCATGGATGGCTGAAAGAATAAACAGATGTGTCTTGGAGAGGGTGTAGCCAGAGTGCTCTTTGGAGGCAAAGATAGTGAGGCTTTGCCTGACATGTTTCAGGTTGTTCTTGCAGAGGGACATGATACTCAGAAAGGTAGAGGGCCAGTGGAGAAGTCCCTCAACCAGGTGGATTGACATGGTGACTGCTACAGTGTGCTATTGGGTGTCAAGAAGTGTAAGGATGGCACAGGATAGGGCAGGCTTCAGATCAGACTCCACTGGGTCATACCCAGTGCGATGGTACCTAGAGAGAGTAACAACAAAACATGTAAAAATACATAAATATTATGGAATTCTAGTGGTCTAATGGTAAGGAATTTTATTACCAAGGCAGGAGGTTTGAATCCACCAGCTGTTCTATGGGGGAGAAGATGACAGGATCCCCCCTCTCAGTTTAGTCTCTGAAAACCCAGTAGAGGATTCACTATGAGCTTGTTCCAACTTAAGTGGCATATAACAAAATATGTGCATTATTCACTGTACAATATGGGCTGTTACTTGTGACACCCCCACCCCCACCCCCTTGCAAGTTAACTATATATTATGAACAGTTTTCCAGGTACTATGCCAGCTAGTTTCAACTGAGATTTTCTTTGTTCATTCTACTTACATAGCTGTTTTGTATTTTTGATCTTGTTTTTCATTTATTTGGCTCACAAACTGGCTTAATACTTGTGTTTATAGAATCCACTTTGGCTATGTAATTGTTGAAAATTCTCTCCTTTTTTAGGTGGGTTTTCAAACAATTATATGATAAAGGCCTTGTTTATAGAGGTGTGAAGGTTATGCCCTTCTCCACAGCATGTAACACTCCACTTTCCAACTTTGAATCCCATCAGAATTACAAGGTATGTAAAATGCTAAGACATGATTTGTTATTAACTGATAGGTGGGGTCATTGTGATCATTATTCTTGAGTGGTCTCCAGTAGGGGAATATCATCTGCATCAGTCACTTCAGCCTGGCCTGTTCTTTCCTTGGGTGGATAATAGTGCTAGTCATTGTAACTAGGTTTTCTTAAAAATGATGCATTTCCAATGCCATTTATGAATAATATTTTTTAATATGATGGGTTCTCTTTTCCCCCCTCTCTTGAGTTGTAAATCAAGCTCAGACATATTTCCTTCTAATCACTTGTAACTTAATATGTCTTGAACATTATTTATTATGTTAAAGATATTAGGGGCATAAATTAATTTTGCAGTGGTGGATACTGTTAGGAGCTTTTCTCTGATAAAATGAAATCGCTTGATATTATGTGTGAAAGTAGTTTATAGACGTCTGATGAATAGAGAGCTCTGAAGGCCTAGTGGGTAGGGAATTGCACTGCTAACCCAAAGGTGGGCAGTTCCAATATACCAGCTGCTCTGCTGGAGAACGATGAGTAGTCATCTCTGATGCACTTTACACCCTCTGAAAATCCAAAAGAGTTGGGAGTCAGTTTTGACTCACTTAAAATGAGTTTATTCTCTTTCTTTTTTTTATGTTTACAAAGTATATTGCTTTACTTTATTTAAACAAGGGTTTTCTTTTCCCAGATAACTTGAGATTTTGTTTAACCCCGTTTACTGTTTTTAAAGTGTATTTATAAGGTGGAATTCTTGTATCCTAGCTTCGGTAGATCCCAAAAAATTGTGTCTAATTCTACACCAGTGGGTCTGCAATCTGTTGCAATACCTATGCAAACTACACAGAACCATACTCAAGATTATGGAGTTTATTAGGGAATTTATTCAGGTTGGCAGCAGGTACAGCTTCTCAGTCAGGATATCTTCTGAGACATGCTTAAAGACCCTTCATCCTCACATTTGTAGGCCAGTGTTACAAAACTCTTACTTCTATCAGTTATGGCATCCACCCCCAAGTTCTCCAGCAAACTGGGGTGCAGGCTACTGGCTCTGGTTCCATGCAGTATGTATCCCAGGGTCAGCTCTGTCTCACTATGGCATTTCCCCGTTCTCCAGCAAGCTGAGGTACAGGTTCCTGGCCCAGGTTCCATTGAATAGCTGGCCCAGGGTCAGCTCTGTCTCACTTTAGGTCTCTGGTTCTCTGCTACAGCTGAAGTTGCTGTTCCGTTAGGCCCTGATCTGAGTGGTATAGGAATCTTCGGCCCAGTAGGGCACATGCTGCATTGTTTTACTTCTTTGCTAGTAGTGAAATTCCCAAATTCTGCCACTGAATCTGCTAAATTTAATGGTATGATTAGCCAGTCCTCTTGAAGATGGACTTATGCACCTTATTTACATGATCCTGCCCATCCATTTGGCAGAATCATACTTAGTGGCTAGGAAGGTTGTTTGTTTGGTTTTTTTTTTTAAGAGAAAGCCCAGAAATGATTTTTTTTCCTATCTCTCCCTGCTAGTTCGCTTTTCTTGTTAAAAAAATTCTTTCATTGTTGCACAATACCTACCCCCCCAACCCCGTCCACTTTGTAATGAACCTCTTATTCTGGACTGTTGTCTTGCAAATAATGGCTAATCATGTATTAAAAAGGCCATTTTTTTTCTTTAAAATTTTTTTATTGTTTTTTGTGCATGTACCGTCAAATCAGATCTGACTGGTACAGGAAGAGATTGTCCATCCTTCTCCAGCAGAGCATCTGGTGGATTTGAACTGTGCACTTCTCGGATTGCAGTGCAGCTTCTTGCCACTAGGCCACCAGAGCTCCCCTGAAAAGGCCATTTTACCAGTAAGCTCACTACTCTGCATTTATTGACAATCTGTATTATGCATGTGACACAAGCTTGCTGGCAGAAAGTGAAAGAACGTAATGTATTTACTGAAGGAGATCAATAACTGCAGTTTTCATTATGAGTTACTCTTCAACATTTAAAAAAAAAATCTTAAAAAGCTGTAAGAGTTATGTGTGTTACTGGGCTATGTGGATACCATTGCATCCATCTTCGATGACGCAACAAAAGGGGAAACAAAAAATACAAAAATGCCCAGGAAACCCAAAAGTTTATGAAAGATGCTGAGAGGGCTGTAGAAGGAAGAGCAATCAGAATAGAAAGGAAAAAGAAAAATTACAGGCAAGGGGAAGGGGAGAAACATCTATCAAGAAGAAAGATTTTGGAAAAAGCAATAAAAACCAATGAATAAAAATTCAAGAAGCAAGAATCAAGAAGTAAAGAAAGGCAGGAGGATCTTGTGGTAAGGTGGGAGGGCTGGGACTTTTACACTGCTCTGAGGGCTGGAGGTAAGATAAGTGGTTGAGGATTAAGTGGTTAAGGATGATGTCTCATCCAGTCCAGGGAAAGGCTGCAGGCAGGGTATTTATTGAAGTCGTTGTGCAGCACTCTGCCTGCAGAGAGTCAGAGCCAGCACCTGATGTCTGAGGAGGACACCTTGCTCCACATCTGGCTTCCCAAAACTTGTTGATGAAGAATCAGCAGGCTGCCAAATCAGTCAGAAGTGGTGCCCATACCAATTCAAGGCGTGATGCAGACTTGCAGGTACCTAGAGGAAGTTTCTGCTGTGTATCCTCCCAGCAGAGATACAAAATGGTGCAGAACTGGCTTCAGAGAAGCTGTACCGGAACTGAGGGGACACTGGAGCCTCTTGTTGGGTGGTAGTAGTGGTGCTGGGAAACTCACCTTGATCACTAAGGAAACTGGGGGAATGAACAAGCAGGAAGGTTTGCCTTGTCTTCAGTGCTGAAGTCTCATTCGGAAAGGTGCTTGCAAGTGTTCAGAATAGTCTTGCACAGCATGGTGCTGTTTTGGCTTCACTGCTTTGTTTCCTTATTTGGTGTTTCTACTCAGTTTTTTCTCTCAATCAGTGTTTGATCTACTTCTCTGTTCAGGAGCAAGTTTCATAGTTTCTTCTGATACCCATTTTGGTCCTTTTTAATGATAGATCCTTTCTTTTTTGCCACTTTTTTGGTAGTTGTTGTTTGTTTTTTGTTTACAATGCTTTTCTTAGAATTAGAATTCCTTTTATTAAAAAAAATTTCAATGAAAATTTAGAGAGACTTTGGATTTCCATTCATTCATTGTTGCACTTTTCTCCACTCCCAACCTTCCCCCCTTGTACACTACCCTCTTGGAAAAGTAAAAGAAAAATTCTTTCATTGTTTTACAATCCTTCGCCCCAGGCTCACTCCACTATGCAGCCTTCACTCTGGACTACCATCATAACAAAAATACCTAATCACATATCCCTTTTAAACAGTTTTCTCCCTCATCTCTTTCAGTACAGTATACATTATTTAACCAATCTTTTTCAGTCTCCCCCAATCCCAATGTCACTCCTGTTTTACCAGAGTGCCACCATACTGATTTGTCCTTTTGTGACTGAGATACTTCACTCAGCATAATGTCCTCCAGGGTCACCTATTTTGAATAATATTGCATGAGTTCCTTGTTTTTCAGTGCAGCGTAGTATTCCATTGTGTGAATATACC